CAAGGGATAAAAGTGATGGACTGGAACAATCCCGGTACTTTCTTCAAGGATCTCATGGGGGGAGGCCTGGCACTTGGAAACTCCCTCCAACTAGGGCGGACCAGAGGTCTCTAAGAGGGCTACGAGTCCCTGGGGCGTGAGCAGAGGTTCCATTTTGCCCCCACCACACAGCCCTACTCTCACTGAACCCTGATTTACCTCATGCCATTTCTAGAATCTAATCGAAAGTCTTCTGCTATATGGTTTGGCCTCTCTCCAATGTAGACTGGACCCTTGAGCTGCCCCCATAGTGGCAAGGAAGGTTCAGAACTTGGCCCTGGGAAATGACCAAGCTGATGGGGGAGGGAGGACTCAGACTGGAGAACCTTGACAGAGACAATGTGCAGAACTGGGGTTGTCACAGCTGCAGGAGGGACCCCAGGGAAAGGGTTCCCTGGAGAGGGAAGGGTGGAACAGGTTCCAGAGAAGGAAAAGGGGATGGACTGTTTGGGGCCAACGTATTGAGAAGATGGAATGGGGTGTCTGCCCAATCTGGGAAGGGATATAAAACAGTGGGTACAGTTCCCTGGTCCAGCAACCAGCTGTGGGGCTGACTTTCTGCACCCAGCACCGTGGGAGTATTGGAGGCAAGGAAAGAGAGCTTCAAAGTCCCCCTCAAGGGAACCACTCCCCCCCTTGTTATTTCTAGCTCCATTTTCTTGGTCAAGAAGGGTGTCAGTGGTAATGCAAATTAGGAGGTGTTGGAGGTGCTGGCCAACACCCATCCTGTCCCCAGCCCCTCCCATCCCTCTTGTCATTGCCCACACACTCACACAGCCAACTGGGACATCTGTGAGATGTACAGGGTGACTCTGACCTTGGCTGAATTGGCATGGAGTGTGGGTGAAGCTACAGGTCAGGCCCTGGTTCTCTGGGGCTTCTGCCTCTGCCATGCGGAATGGCAGGCAGTGACAGGGCCTCTAACTGACGCCCAGGTCCTCCCTTACCCACTCCCTTCCTGCTTTCAGCCTTGCCAGGCCTTCCTGGATCATTGCCATAGAGCTGCATGGCATCTGCATGGCCAGTGAATGCCTCAAACCAGTAAGCGCCTCAAGCCAGAGCATTCTACTCCAGGCTGCTGATCAGAAGGGCGCTGATCAGAAGGGCACAGACCAGTCCTCTGAACAACACAGCTCACATCCCTCGGCAGATGTAGGTTAGGTCTCAAAAGACACTTGGGCAACCAGTCCCTGGAGTCAAAATAAGAAAGTGGAGGAAGCACAGGAATGGGCCAGGGTGCTAGGGGATCCCCGTTCTCCCCACGGTACCTGGCCTCTGCCCAGACATCATGCCCCACCCCTTCCCACTCAGGAACCCTTTGCCCTTGACAGTTCATCCTTTTATCTGACCTCAATTATTCCTGTAGCCACCAAAATTGCTCTGTTCTTGTCCTTGCTGAGGAAGAGATGGGATGAGGGGGGCTCTTCTGCTCCCCCTACCCTATAAAGAGGTCGCTGAGTGAAACCGCTGCTCCCTCTGTTCTTCATTAGTCCTAATCAGCTGGGTGAGGTGTTTCTCATTAACACAGCTGACTCACCCACACACACCCCCTCTGTTAGCAACAGCTTCTCCCTTACACTCACTTGCGCGCACACACGCACACACCACCAGCTTCTGAAAGGAGCTGTGCCTCTCCCAGCTGATCCTCTGACATAGCTTGCACAGAGACTAGGACAGGGGCAGGGGTCTCAGTGGCCTGGCAGCTCTGAGGAAACGCTGTGGGGAAAGGGAGAGCACGTAGGACATTGCTGTCTAAGGATGTGAACATATGGCCCTGGATGGCCTGGGCACTGTGAAGTCACCTTCCCCCCCACCACCCCCGCCGTGTCTGGCTTTCGGTCAGTGTGGGGAGAGTGGGTAGGTTGTCCAGGTGTGTCTTTTCCAGCCTTGGCAGAGATCTTCCCTTTACCTTGCTCCTGCAAAAGCCGCCCATCCTCCTCCCCCTTTTCAGAAGCCTAGACTTGTAGGTCCCCTTTCCACTACATTCTCTCAGCTCCTGGCACCCACTCCCCATCTGGACAGAGTAATGAGTACAAGAGTCCCTGGGTGTCTGATCACAGTCCTGCCTGACAGAGGAAGGAAAGGGATGTGAGTTGGCAGGCCTCCCCCGCTCCTCCCCAGCTCTCCCATCCCTGTATCCTCTCTTTTCAGGGGGTTATTAGAGGAAAGGCTATGACTTGGAGACTCAGGCTGGGGCATGTTAGCTTTCCTTCCATTCCCTCCCAGCCCCCAGCAACTTTCTGCCCTGCACCTGAGCCCTTTCCCAGGTCCCTAGAAATCGAGGAGACAAGCTGCCAGAATCTGCACCCTATATCCCCACATTCCCCTCACCCTGGTGACAGCAGAATGCATAGGTTGTGGGATACCTGGGTTCCCTCCCACCTCAGACATGCTCAGGACCAGGACTGGCTACCTGGGTTATCCTCCTGCCTCTGTGCCAGCTCCTTCCCACTCATCCTTTGCCCCTTTTCTCAAAAGCCAGGATTTCTGCCTCGTGCATCCCCAAATCACCCCTTTTTCATTCATGCCCATCTCACAGGTGCTTCCAGAGATCTAAACAGCACCCAGATCCAGAAACTGGGGGACTACCTCCCTCCATGGGAGCTAAGGTAGGAGATTATCAGGGGCCTGAGCACCCATGTGCCAGAGACTCCAGAACCTTCTTTCCCAGCTTTAAGCCCTGTCACATAAGAATGGCTGGCCCCCTTTACCTGGCACTTGGGACTGGGCCTCAGATGGCATCAGGCTCAGATAAACTTATAGAGGGCAGTAGTCATTAACTACAACCTGGGGAGGCTGGGAAGTCTCCCCATAAGGAGCTAGACCTTGGTTGAATAGGGACACCTGCTAGAGCTGGGTCTGGAGCTGAACTGCAGGCTTTTGATAGGTGGGCGTTTTTAAGTGAACCCTTAACCAAAAAGAGCCACATGGAAAAAGGAAGGCAGCCACAGTTGATAAATGAGTGGCTCAAGCCCTCTTTGCAAACATAGGGCACAGCCCCAAATGAGGGCAGAAGTCATAGGTTCCTGACCCAGCTGTGACCTCCCAGGTTGTGGGACAGCAGATGGGAGGCACCTGTAGCTCAGTGGTTAGGGTTGCCAGCCACATACACAGAGGCTGGAAGGTTCGATCCCAGCCCAGGCCAGCTAAACAAAAATGACAACTGCAACAAAAAAATAGCTGGGTGTTGTAGTGGGCGCCTATAGTTCCAGCTCCTTAAGCCCAAGAGTTTGAGGTTGCTGTGAGCTGTGATGTCACAGTACTCTACTGAGGACGACATAGTGAGACTCTATCTCAAAAACAAAAAAGACAGCAGATGAACCTTGAGCCCAGCCCCTCCTGTTCTCAGATCTATGCAGATGTGGAACCCAGGTTCTTCCTTTTTGAGGCCCCAGCTTGGTTCCTGGCATGCCAAAATCATTTGATGAAAAAATTGCTGCTGCTGATAAATGAACCCCATGTCTTTAGCACATTTATCCACCAGACCTGCTGGGAAGGAAAATTCAAAAGCCCCTGACACCTGCTTAGGGCTGGAGTGGCTGCTTTATACATGTTCCAAGTAAGTGCCAGGTCACAAGTCATCTGTGCCCACTTGCGTTTGTACCTCCAGAACCTTTGGATTCTGCGTGGATACATGTGGGTGCCTGTGTACACCTACTCGCTCAGCTCCTCACTCCCATGGTTGTGATTCCTTGAGACATAATTTCCAAGGGTCCTGGCCCCATTACAGTCAGGGAGGGCACAGACCTAGTGCAGATGGAACAGGTATATTTTATTTGGACTTTCAATTTTTTCAGAGAGCACAGGGGCCCCTACCTCCCCTCTCCAGGCCCCCTTTCCCTCCCTGGAGGACACTCAAGGTTCAATGACATGTGTCTCTGGAGTCTGTGGCCCTTTCCTGTTCAACATGCCCCTTCACTCCCCTGCATTATGGAGGAGAGGGGCATGAGGAGCTGTGGCCTGGAAGAGTTGGATCAGAGTGGGACATGCGCTGTCAGGAGTGACCACTACCCCTGCCCGGGGCTGAGGCCTGGGAGAGGCGCAATGTGGAGGGGACAGACTCATTGTGGGGTGGCAGGCTCTTGCCATAGGAGGTTCCCCACCTCAGCCCTGGGGACCTCTTGGCCTCCTGCTTACCCGTCCTTCTGAGGGTACAACTCTGAGGTAGATTTCACAGAGGAAATGTGGGTGGGTGGGGTGTGGGGAGGGGTTAGCTCTTTAGAAGTTGATCTCCACAGCACCCTGGGCCCATTCTCAGGTTCTGGTGGGGGAGGCAGGGGCTGTTGACACACACTCAGCTAATAGGCTGAGTCACACATGGGCTCCATGTGTGATGTCAGAGGCTTGAGTGGGGTAAATGGGGAGGGGTCTGCCTTGACAATTTGTGCCTAAATGCCAGGGGCTCCAGGAGGAGGGCATGGGCCTGTGGCAGACAGTCCCCTGGCCTGAGGGTCATGGTGCAGGGCCCTTGGCCCTCGGGGCAGCCTCTTTAGGATCTTCCCTTTCCTCTCCCACCCTCTCTATTCCCCAGAGTGGGAGAATAGGGTATTCTTGCCACAGGAAATGGCAAGAAACAAGATGCCTCCTTCCCTAAATGGAAGCCCATGCCACAAACCCCAAACTGGCCATGGGATGGAAGAACTGGCATCAGTGTATAGGGCAGGCTCTGGGACCTCACAGGGAGGTACTCCCAGGACAAAGCACAGCCTAGCAAAGACAGACATTTGGGGAGGAGCTCAGGAGCTCCTGGAGTCCTCTGACACTTTCCTCCTCCCCTAGACCCAAGTACTAGACATCTTCTTGGATACAACCCTATTTAAGAACAGAAAGGCAGAGGGAGAGGCCTGGAGGGGTACGCCCCTCCCCACCCCAGCCTAGGTCCCCACCTTCCCAGCAGAAGCCAAGAGGGTGGGAGGGAGCCTCAGTTGACCTCCCAGGAAGAGCCAGAGCTGAGTGGTGCCTGGACCAGGGAAGACGGCACACACGTTGACTCAGTAGCTAGTGGAGGTATCTGGGGGTCGCAAGGGGCAGGGGCCCCCCACAAGATTCATGCAGCATTCAAAGTGAGTGTTTAGGGGTGATAGGAGAGGGCAGAGAAACAACCAGTGGGTAGGGGCAGTGCCCTAGATCTTGCTGTTCTCCAGGTGGGAGTCAATGTGTTTGATGAGCGCATCATCTGGGTACCCAACAGGGAAACCCAGTTGGCAGAGGGGGCAGCTGCGGATGTCAGAGCCCACTGTCTCCATCAGCAGCTGCAGAGAGAGAAAAAAGTCACTTATGGTCCCCCATCCCCATCTATGGTCTCCATATCCCAGTCTGCCCTTTCCAGCCTTTCCCTTTCCATGCAGTAGGGGTCTGGGGATCCTTCTCCAGTACCATCCTCCCCACAGCAGCTCAGCATCCACACTCCTGCCAAAGGGTGTAGGGTCCCCAAGAGATATGTATGAGAGTCACTGCTAAGCTTGCTAGGGCATCTGCAATGAGGTAAGCAAGACCCAGACATGCCCTAGAATGACTGAGACATAGCTCCCAGATAACTCAAAGCAAAGGATAATCCCAAACAATGTACAGCCCCAAAATAACTTTCTGTTTGGCTTTGGAGTATACTTTGGTGCCTCCAGGTTGTAAAGGGTAGCTCTGACATTTAGAAAACTCATTATTTCAGTGAAATGATGGAATCCTGAGATAGGCTTCTGTCTTCTGGGACAGACAGAAAACAGCAGGGATCTGAGGCCTGAAGGAGGGAACTAGATGAGCAGGCCTCTCCCTGTGTGATTAGTAGCCACCATCCCCAATACACTAGAGGATGCTTGAGCCAGGCACTATGCTGACTGCTTTAGGCTGGCTGCCTCCCTCTTAAGACCCTGTAAGGTGGCTCGGCGCCTATAGCTCAACCGGCTAAGGCGCCAGCCACGTACACCTAAGGTGGCGGGTTCGAATCCCCAGCCC